GCCCTCTCAATTTGACCAACCTGAGTGCTTTTTTTCCCTTTGAACAGAAACAGTGTGAGGCGGGGAATATACTTAGCCTATGTCATGATGATGAGATGTTGTAAACTCTCATGCAAAGAGTATTCTCTAACTCATCACATCCGTGTAATAAATGATGTATATTGTCTTTTGAAAATGACTGACAAGACTCCAGTGAAAGTGGAGAGCCAAGGTCCCCAAAAGTTTGGATCCCCTACTGTGTTGGAATTCGAGAGCAGGGAGATGGGACTGGGAGGATGTTTGGAGCACACCATCACAAAAATTAGGAGGAGGGGGTAGGGGATAAGGGATTTGGGGGGAGAATGAGAAAGGAGACAACATTGAAAGGTAAATACGTATAATACCCAATAAAAACCCCACACAGATAAAGGATTTAAAAAAAAAGGAAGTCTATTTATTTTAAATTAATTTCAAAAGTTTCTAGGAGATGCAAATTGGCTAAGATACTATTTTAAGCTCTCCACAAAAGAATTTAAATCTCTGTTCAATATTCTCAAGAGAGAGGTAAACCCTAACTTCTTCAACAGTTAATTGACAAAAGAGAGGTAATCTCACAAAAAGTAGAAAAAGCTATTTCTAATCGATATATCATATAGTCTGATTAATTGTCAGTGGAGCTATAAAAGTCCTTTGACAAAAGATTATTAATATAGATTTATATATCCTTAAATAAGGCCTTCATGACTCTCTGAGTGTGGAAGGAGCAACTGTTGGCGCTTCTGCCCTGATTTTACAAGAACTCTGAAAAATTGGCTTTAAAAACAAAAGAGGGGGAACGGTACCCCCTCAGAAGGAGTCCCCCTGAAATACTCTCCATCATGCCTTGTTCACTTTTCTCTCTCTAAAGCTGAAAGCTCATGGCAAATCTCTTGCTGACCATGTTGGTGACCTCGGGCACCACCAAGACCAACAAAACTTTGCCACAGATATGGGGAAGGACCCTCATACCCATAAAGGGAATGCCCCAGTCCCAGTTCCCTTATGGAGCCGAGGACTGATATGCCTGCCCAATACCACAGAAGGCACAGCTAACCGGCTACCACAAATATTAATGAAAAAAATAGATACCCTCACAAAGCCAGGCCCAATCATAAATACGATGAATAACAATTTACATCCAGGGAAGAGAAATCTCCCTGAGAATCCCCTTCTTTTTTCTTTCCAGGTAAAATTGAATCACCCGTGATGCCTGCTATTAGAAGTTCTAACCCAGATGGACCAGAAGCCAGGAGCCTCGCCCTTACCCTCACCCCCTACCTTTTCCCACCTGCACAAGGTCCCCTGAAGCTGGGCAACTGCAAGATCCTGCTTGGCAACTGCAGATAGACTCAAAGCAGTGTACCATATCATCTGAAGAATAGCAGGGAGACCATAACTCAAGCAGTGTACCATATCTTCTGAAGAATAGCAGGTTGCAGTCCTCCTCGCCCCCACGAATAACCAGGACCCGCCGGTCGGGTCAAGTGGCACCCAGACGTGGGGCTCGAGGCACGGACCCATCCGGACGGACCCTCATTGAGAGGATGTGCTCACGACATCAAGATTGACCAAGACAGAGATCATCACCCGTGACCTGTCGTCCACGGAACCAGGTTGATGCTGCCATCGAGAAGGCAGTTGAAGTTCATTACCATAAGCTGAAAATTGCAGAGGATCCAGAAGTGACTCCGCAGGAGACTGACACAGCTGTCAGCTCCCCTGCCTCCCCCTACGGTCGACCCCTAGACTTCCACGCCCTCCAGAAGGGTTCCTGGTATGCCTGGCTTTGCCCTCATTTCTCTCGCTAGAGAGCTTGGCCTCTTGATCACCACAACAAAAATTGGCTTTTTCCTAAACCAAGGCCACCCTTGATATGGCCGCTAACATTGGGGAGCCTTCCTTTATGACAATATTACACCCCAAACTGACAAATGGTTGGTAACTTGAACATTTACAAGAGACTAGGATGGCTGTGAGTTAGCCCAATGACGGGATTATTGTAGGTCCACTTCCCAGGGGCCCACCCAATGCAGCCGAAAAGGAGTGCGTGGTGCTGGGAGTGGGTGCAGCCTACATGGCCTAAGACAGGGCTCTCACCCTCCTTTCACCCACATCAGAGTCCCTTGACGTTGCCCATCGTCGACAGCCTAAAGCCTTCGACCATCGATGTGACTCGTCTCACATCAGTGTTTTGGGGTTGTGAACTTGTCTAAGACCCCCCATAATTAGACATCCAAATTCAAAACTCACATAGTTGGGATTGAACATAAGACGCCTTCTCTAACTAAACAGAGAAGGGGGAGATGCCAGAAGCCAGGACCCTCGCCCTTACCCTTACCCCCTACCTTTCCCCACCTGCACAATGTCCTCTGAAGCTTGGCAACTGCAAGATCCTGCTTAGCAACTGCAGATAGACTCAAAGCAGAGTACCATGTCTTCTTAAGAATAGCAGGGAGACCATAACTCAAGCAGTGTACCATATCTTCTGAAGAACTGCAGGTAGATCATAATTGAAGGCAGTGTACCATATAGACCATGACATGTTTCAAGGCACAGGCCAAGAAGATTTTGTACTTTTCCACCACCTGGACCCTCTTACCCCCTCCTCTTGTAAAACATGCTATAAAAAAAAGCATTTCATGTTCAAAAAAAAAAAAAAGAAATTTAAAAAAAAAAGAGAAAAAAAAAAGAAAGATCTAACCCAAAAAAAAAAAACAAAAAAAAAAAGAAAATGACTGACAAGGTCCTGTGAAATCGATGAGGTCAGAGCTACAGCCCATCTGGCTGTTCCTGCTTTCTTCTGTTTCATTTCATTTGTTGTATTTTTTCCAGGTTGCACTAAACAATTGCTATTAATTTCTATTAAAAAGATACAGTCACTGTATATATTTGATAGCTCAGCCCAGAAGCACTGCTTCCTGACCCTAGGCTTGCTGTCTAGTTGCAGCTCCAATAGATGGGTTATGGGTGGGGCTGGACTCTTCTACTTGGATGCTGCCTATTGAGCTGTCTCCTGTGAGCCCACATGGCCACATACCAGGAATGCTAGGGGATTTGGACACTCCATTGATAGAATGACCTGTGGCTTATGTTAAACAAATGATAGTAAGGACCCCTTCTGAGTGTGGTGCTCCGTGCCACGTGGCACCAGAGGCTCCAACCTGAGGCACAGCACATCAACCTAGAGACACAATATGAGATCTGTCTCTCTATATGTTCCCTTTTCTCTCATCTCCAGCCACAAGTCAGCATTTCCTCCCCTCTGTGACGTGGAAATGTGAAAACGGAAGTCATTTTCAGTGAAAGGCTCTTCTGTCTTCAGACACACATACACTACCAGTAGAGTAGATGTCAGGGTCCCAGAGAAGTGAGCAGAGGAAACTCTCAACATCACAGAGGAAAGTGGGGAACCCAGTGACAGGAAAGGAGACAGACTGCCAGGTTATAGTCCTACATCATCTCAACTGAGCCCATTCCAAGCATGGCACAATGGCTGGAATCAGATACATGGATACTGGGATAAAAGGTTTCTTGGCATTGACCAATGTGGACAGTGGCTACTGTCCAGAGAGGCCAAGATCCCCCACGCTACTGCTTCAGTTGTTAAGTGATATGGGAGTCTCCTGACAGATTTAGATTGATTACATTTCAATGTCACACACCAAGATTCATGTGGGCACCTGTTTCAAGATGACATAGGCTGGCTTGGGGGGATGCATGTCTGCAGGGGATACATATAGGTAGAACTCAAACTAACCTCCTCTGAGCCACAGGTAACTCATTGGAAGACATGGATGTCTAGGAAATGCTACGAGTCTGGGACAGGCTTGGTTTGAAGGATATCTCAGAATGCCTCAAAATCCTTGAACCGTTCCACTCCAACCCCGCCTTCATGAATGACAAAATAACACCCCCTGTTTATTATTGTCTTTGTGGATGTCAGCTCAAAACAGGACAAGGTCAAACTTAGAATAAGGGAATGAAAAACTTGTTCCCAATATTTCAAACTTTGTGTGAAACAAAAAACAAAAAAACAAAACAGGGCAGATCCAAAGCAATCAGCAAGGACAGCTACAGTCCCGAGAAACTCTAGACGTGAAAGTCTCTGTGATTTGTAGAGGAAGTGTAGATTTTACATTCCATGTCTCTAAATTAATTCTCTTTAAAATTTTACCTTCTTCCTGGAGATGGAGAGACTACCCAGGGAATAGGCCAACAAGGGGGCCTGGACAGTAGGGACCTATTCTGCCTGCTATGGAAACATGTTTATCAGAAACAGGCCTTTACCCACCATTTCCCAAAACAAAACCCCAGTGTAAAGACATTTGGACCTTGTTTGTTTAGGGAACATCTCCAAGGAACTGTTCTCAATTACTGACTAGTAAACTTACTGGTGTTCTGTTTCCCATAATTTCAAGGTAAAAACACTCCCTACCTACCAAGATGTGCCATGCTAATCTTGCAACCTTGTAATCTTCTTGATATTGGGAAGCCCTTGGGCTGGAATCCTTGCTCTTAAATACAGACTTTGAATAGCATGTGAAAGTGTCTCGTGCCCAAATGCATGATACTTATAGCCACTCAGGAGAGGCAAAAGGTTGAGAAAGACTTTCCAGAGTCAGATTGAAAAGCATTGTTTCAACCCCCTGTCAGTGGTATAAATTCATGACACCAAAAAAAAAGTATTATTTATAAATTCTTTTTAAAACGTCATAGTTAGCTCTGTCAACTGTCAAAGCAAAGAGTCACCTAAGATGGGAGTCTCACCTGAGAGATCGCCCAGCTCAGACTGGCCTGTGTGTCTGTGAGCTGTTGTCTTCACCCACCACCCACGTGGTTCCTGTTTCTTCCTGCTCTGACTTCCCTCAGCGATGGATATCAGGATATCCGGTAAGGTGAAATAGCCCTTTCCTCCCTAAGTTGCTTTTACTGAGAGTGTTTTGTCACAGCAACAGAGGGAGACTAGGACAATTAGAAAACAATTCATTTTAAAAACAGACACATATCTTTAATACAAATGAGCAGTAACTGTGTAGCAATATCAGAATAAGCTGTGTTCAATAGGAGGGGTTTTTCCCCCAAAAGATACAAGACGTACAGATAAATCAGTCATACCTTATATATGTTCACTCCGGGCACTTTAACTTCATAATGAAGTATAGCTACTTTCATAGTTTTTATCAACTTAAAATTCCAAAGACATTAACAGAAATATGCATTTCCATAATTGTTATGTATAAAACTGGTATGAATCATATACCTTAATATTGTCATTCTATGTATTAATCAAAAGTACAATAACCCTGAAGAGGAAGTGGAGTCCCTTCCTTTCCTTACACAGTACAAAAATACCAAGATAATAGCAGGCATCAGTTATACAAATCAAGCTATGTTTTAGAATAAGTTTCATAAACACAAGGCCATCTTTCTCTTTGATTCAAAAAATAAAAGAGGTAGGTAGGTTAAAGGCAAAGATTTCCACTAGACTTTTCAGAAAGCAACTATAACAGAAATTGCCAGAAACCAAATGAGTACATAGACTAAATCTTAAAATGTTAAAACTATGTTTTGTTTGGTTGGTTTGGTTTTTGTTTTGGAGACAGGATTTCTCTATGTAGCCCTGGCTGCCCTGGAAATCTCTGTAGACCAGGCTGGCCTCGAACTCACAAATGTGCCCACCTCTGCCTCCTGAGTGCTGGGACTAAAGGCATGTGCCAATACTGCCAGGCTAAGACTGTCGGACATCTTCTTATAGAAGAAATAAGATTTTTCTAAGTTTTAAAACAAATCATAAAAGATAACTGACTACAAAATCAGCTTTAGCTTTTTAAAAAATTGAAATGATTTTACACATTAAAAACTTTCTGTCATCTTCCTAAGTCTTGAGGCAAGTGGATATGTAGATCCATATGTATACAGATTAAAACAGGTAAGATGAATACATACTACTATTAAAATGTGCTGGTGTCTTAACTTTGTGCCACTCCATTTGAGAAGCACAGGCTCAAAGACTTTGACAGTAAGAGGGAAACGAGGGTGCCATTACCACACGGCCCCTGTCCACTGAATGTGGCTTCTATAATTCATTCCTATTCTGCTTACAGATGAAGAGATAAACTGTGCAAGGTAGACTTTAAATATAGTGATTTTTTCTTAACTAATGCCTCTGTTGGGGAATTTTACATCTATAAAGACATCCAAAATACGTATAAAACAATTTAAGCTTTCTGATCATTTTGGATTTTTAAAAAAAAAAATTGGGTAAAAACAAATTGACATGAGCTTGAACAAATCGGAACAAGGGTCAGTGATTTATAATCCTACCACACAAAATGATTTTAGCTCAAGCCAGTACATTTTCAGATTTAGGGTGCAAGGCAGAGATCTCTATCAGCAAAAATAGAGTACAATTTTGTGGTTTCGTCACTTACTGAAACATGATTCAGAATGTTACTGAAGGTATAAAACTGATCCCAAAGGCTTAAAGAGATCATGGCTACACTCTTCCCTTTGGCAGAGAAAACAGCTTCTTTTGCTGCAATCCCAGAAGTCACTGGAGAACACTGACAGTCTCGGTCATCAGGGAAAAGCAGGGACCTGGCCTGGTCACTTCTGAGCTACACCCAGCGTTTGCTTCATATTTTCGTACACCACGTAGCTGATGCCCACGGCAGGGAGCACTTTCATGAAGTTCGGGGTGATGCCTCTGTAAAGTCCTGACACTCCTTCTTTGGAGACTATTCGCTGAAAAAGGCCAACCATGCTCAGCTGCGGGGCTCCTTCTACCGTGGCTAACAAACAGACAAGCAGACAAACAAAATAAATAAAAATGGGGAGAACCAGGCTAATCCAGTATTTAAGCATGAATCGTTGTTACAACATACAGCTGGGGATTCGCCATGGGGTCTAGAACACAAAGAACCGATAAAAACCAGTTCCAAAAGCAACTCTCTTTGTGAAGCATCACCAGTGAGTTACAGTGACAGGCACAGCAGCTCATTATGAATGAGAAATGTGCTGGATATTAGGTTACTTACTCTCTGTGCCAGCCCTCCAGGATAAACACATACAGGAGGAACTGGAAACTCGGAAAGACATGAGCTTCTCCCGACTCCTTCGTTACCAAAACTGAGAACCTGTGGTTGGTGACACTGAAGCCCAACACTCTATCACAACCCATCCAAGTACTGACTAGAATGGTTAAATTCTACATAACAGGGAAAGAGGAGATTTGGAGAGGCTCAGAAAGAGCACAGAGACCTGGGCCTTGTAATTATCTCAATAGAAGGAGAGAAGGGAGTGAAGAAAGGAGGAGAAGAAAAACGAACAAGGTGGGGAGAGGAGGAGGCAGCCTTGAACTGTTGGTACAACAAAAGATGGGTACAGGCATGGGTGAGGGGACACGGTGATTGTTGCATGTGATCATCGCCCGTAGAGTACCAAGGAGCTGGAGGTGCACACACAATGGGTTATTTGTCTATTTCCTACAAGTTGAAGCATTTCCATGGGCTAGAGTGACCCCGAAGACTAAGGAAGTCAACAAAACTTGCCAAGCTCAGACAGCTTCTGAAACTAGATGATTCACAAGGCCGCTCCCTGATCCCTGGGGTCACGTGAACAGTTATAACTTCCTGTGGGCAGAACAGGAAGCTCCAGCACGAGTCTCTTGCAGATTATACAGGGAGCTCCAATGATTCAGCCTCTGTGGGTGGTGGCTTGCGCTGGCTGCAGGCTGAGGGGTGATGGGCAGCTGGTGATGCAGCTGTCTTTGAGTTGTTCTAGCTCCTGTAAGGAGCTATCACCCAAGCTCCAGTAAGAACCCCACCAAACTCACTGATACACGACGCTAGACGCTAGACGTGAGTGGACCTGTTTCTTTAGTCTGTCCTTGCCCTATCTCGGTGAGCAGACAGATGTCTGGAAAAGTAACACAGCAGCAGCGTAGTGGGAGTCAGAGAACCGAGGCGGAGCTAAAGCTGAAGCATCCTGTGATTGCTAAAGACTTCGAAACCCCCACTGAGAACTTTGGAATTTATTCTGAAAATTCTGAAGAGTAACAAAAAATGTCTGAAGAGACACAAAACGTTTGGGCCTTGATGGAAAATGGCAGATCTTAGCAGCCGTGCTAGGCCAGGACTGGAGCTGATGGGGATGGGGGGGTTGGAGGGGAGGGCTCGCTGTGCATCAGTTTAAATCCCTAAGTGGGTCTGAACTGCAGCTCGACTCCAGCTCAAATTCATAACCCTGTAGACATTCCTTAACTGTTCTTGCCTGTTAGTCATTTGCCAAATATGGATGATATTAGCATCAAGCTCCAAAAGTGGTCACCCTAGCTAACTGAGAGACTACACACATTTAGTTTGCTAGTTTGCATTCCTCTCTACAGACACGATTGGCTCTCAGCTCCGCAAATAAGCCACTGCAGGCCTGTGTCCAGCAAGCTCCTGCACTGCAGTCCAAGGCTTTGGCTGGGGTTAGGCTAGATCTGATGCCATGAGGTGTTTTAAAGGGCTGCTTTCTGGTCGCACCCATGTCTTTTCCACTCCACAGTGACTGTTTCACACCTGAATTGTTGCATTCTCTAACTCTAGCATCCATTTGACAGCGTGTCTCAGAAGAGTGTCACTGAGTGACTGGCTGCTTGACTGAAGGAGGGATGGCTGCATTGGTGTGCTTTCATAAGGGAAGTTACAGTGGATGAATATGGCCAGGGAAAAAGAAGAGCGGAAAAGAAAGACAAAGAGTGCATGTTTCCATGGGGCAGGCAGCCAGAAACAGCAGGAAGACAGTAGTCAGGAAGTGTCAGGAGGGTAAGGGGTAGCACGGCCTGGGAGCCAGAGGAGAGAATGTCACAGAGAGGAGGACTCAGTGCCAAGCCTGGGGTCTAAACAGAACTGACAAGCAGTCAGGCTACCACCTACTTTGAGAGTTTAGCAAACCCCAAATTCTTTACACAAACTGCCACTAATTTTTAAATCCCTATTCATGGAAGATAACATAAAGTGGGGGAGGGGGCAAAGCCCTGAGCATGAATCTGCTGTATGTTAAACCTTATGATCTTAAAACATGGACTATTTCTATAAAGGAGTAGCAATAACACACATACACAGAGGGAGGGAGG